CCCCAAAACCCCAAAACCCCAAAACCCCAAAACCCCTTGCTATCTCATCAGTCTATTGATTTCTGATCTTTAATAAACTTAATAAAATCAAGAAAATGCACAAAAGGTATGCAATATTGGCAACATGCCAGTTGAATCAATGGGCAATGTCTTTCAATTATAACAAAAACAATATCATAAAGTCAATAAAACTAGCTAAATAATTAGGTGCAACTTATCGCCTTGGTCCAGAGCTAGAAGTTCCAGGTTATGGAAGTGAAGACCACTTTTTTGAGTTAGATACCGTCAAACACTCATGGAATGTACTTAGAGATATTCTTGAGGATAAAGAACTTACTAAAGATATAATTGTTGATATTGGAATGCCTGTTTCATACAAAAATACTCTGTATAATTGTAGAGTAGTTTGTCTGAATTAAGAGATTTTACTGATAAGACCAAAACTTCATTTGGCTTCTGGGAATAACTATAGAGAAAGTAGATGGGTAAATTTTTGTAGCATTTTAATCAATTTTCTGATAGTTTACAGCTTGGGTTAGAGATGATGGAAGAGCTGTAGAAGATTTCCAACTTTCACCAGAGATCCAATCAATTAAAGGGCAAAAGCTTACTAAGATCGGGAACGCCGTGATAAAAACTATCGATACCTCAATTGGTATTGAAACTTGCGAGGAGCTGTGGGTTCCTAAGAATCCACATGTAGACTACGGGCTTGATGGAGTAGAAATTATTACTAATGGATCTGCTAGTCATCATGAGTTGAGAAAACTTCACACAAGATTAGCTCTAATCATGAATGCAAGCACAAGGAACGGAGGAGTTTATCTATATGCTAATTAAAAGGGCTGCGATGGTGGAAGAGTTTATTATGATGGGTCATCTATGGTATGCATGAATGGGAAGATTTATAATATTGAAAAGTAATTTTCTGTCGGAGATGTTGATGTGTAAATCGGTGTATTGGATCTAGATGAAGTAAGATCTTACAGAATGGGTAACTAATCTCGCAATTTCCAATCTGCTAAATTAAAGCCATTTACTGAGGTATTTGCTAATATTTCAATTAGTAAATTATCCAACATCCCTCTCTCAAAACAAGTGGCCCTCAATATTTTAACTCCCGAGCAAGAAATTTCTAGAGGACCAGCATTATGGATGTGGGATTACCTTAGAAGATCTGGTGCAAGAGGTTTCTTTCTTCCATTGTCAGGTGGAGCAGATTCAGCTGCTGTAGCAGGATTAGTGGCAAATATGAGCAAGATGGTCCTAGAAAATATCAAGAATGATGGAAATTTAGAAACACTTGAAGATATTAGAAGAGTTGTTAAAGATCCCAAGTTTACCCCAGAGAAATATTAAGACATAGTTAACAAGATATTTGTTACAAGCTACCTTTCAACTAAAAATAGCAGTAAAGAGACGCTAGGGAGAGCTGAGAATTTAGCTAAGAGTATTGGTTCTCTACATTTCAATATAGGTATAGATGAAGCTTATGAAGGCATAGTAAAAGTATTTCAAAATGCTACTAATATGACTCCAAAGTTTGAAGTTCACGGAGGATCAAGCATTGAAGATTTAGCTTTATAAAACATCTAAGCTAGAGTGAGAATGGTAATCTCTTATTTGATGGCTTAGTTGGTTCCCTGGACTTAGAATGAGAAAGGGTTCTTGCTTGTACTCGGTACTTCAAACATTTGCGAATCTCTTAGAGGTTATATGACGAAATATGATTGCTCATCTGCTGATATTAACCCAATAGGAGGAGTGAATAAATCTGATTTGAAGAGAACCCTGATTTATCTCTCACACGAGATGAATGTTCCAGCTTTGGCCGAGATAGCAGGAGCATTACCTTCAGCTGAGTTAAGACCTTTTGTAGAGGGTGACACTAAGACTTAACAGCTTGATGAAGTAGATATGGGAATGAGTTATGACGAACTTGATGAATTTGGAAAGCTAAGAAAAATTTACAAGAGTGGTCCTGTTTCAATGTTTGAAAGGCTTTTGTTCAACTGGCCTCAATTGACACCAAGAGAAGTAGCAGAGAAAGTTAAGAGATTTTTCTACTACTACTCTGTTAACAGACATAAAATGACTGTAGTCACTCCTTCTTATCATGCTGAAGCGTATGGCACAGATGATAATAGATTTGATCTCAGATAATTCTTGTATGATACCAAATGGGAACTTTAATTTGATGAGATTGATAAGATTGTACTTGAATACGAAAGGAAGAAGCTTGATCCTAACTAGAAATAGGATATGAGAAATTTCCCTCCCAAAATGTGACAGCCGAAGTCGAAATTTATTTCTTCAGTAATATCTCTTAAATCATAAAATTATTAATAAAGTTTATCTGTGGGGTTTTGGGGTTTTGGGG